AATCTACTGCAGTATTTATGTCACTTATTTTGCAGTTGTCAATTCCACTTGCGTATATTATCCCCTTTATTCACAATTATGTGAACATTATGTGCTCATCCCTTCTGATTGCTATTTACCTTTTGGCTTTCAGTCAAGGGTAGGCCTACAATGCTTACCTCCTTATCAATGGAGTGTCTGTATAGAAAACATAAGAGATAAAATTCTGTAGTAAACATAAGTTACAAAATGGAGATTGGAAAGCAAAAGGAGGGTGTTCACCTGAAGCACTGCAGATTGAGAACCCATAAGGGCAAGGGGTCATTGATGCTACCGGTACTTATGGATTTAGATAATTATGGTCGCCTCTTCTCTTCCCCATCCACAACAGTTTCACATGACTGCCAATTTCCCCTTTGAAACCTCCACAGCTGCACCCATTCAACCTCCATCTTTGACTGGCTACTATTTCGAAACCCTCTGCGTGCCCCTCCCCTGCACTTTGTGTATGATCTAATTTTTCACAACGGATCCAGTCGTCTCATCCCCACCTTGAAACTCAGCTATGCCCTGACCATGCTCCACACGCTCGCTGCACCCTCTGTACATCAATTTACAGCCCTCTCAATCCCTGCCTCCCCACTCTCGCTTTGTGCTGCCTCTAAACCAACTATCCCCCCCGATCTGTCCACCCCAGCCAATGGCCTTTCTACCCCCTACACTACACTGCAAGAGGTCCCATTTCCCTTTTACGCCTTTTCACTTTGTAGCCCTGTCTTCTTTCACCGTCAGTTCAACTGGGGTGACTAACTTCACCAAAGACTAGGTGCAGCAAAACTACCGTAATATGATTGGGCAGTAATGCATGTTATGTTGTCCAAAAACATTGGCGCTTCTATCATATTAGTGGTTTCCTATAGTGTTTTAGGCATGAATGCACTTCTGCTCCAGAAATGAATGAGGAGGACTATATAAAAACCTTGGTAGGCTAAAAATTATCTGACAGAGCATCACCTCACTACTTATTGTTAATGATCCATCAAAATATTTTGCCTTTGGATGAAATGTCCTTTTCAATAACTTACCAGCCTTTGTATATGCAGTTTAACTAGTGAATGGATAGCCTGATGCCAGTTTTTGTTTACATTCAGTACATGATTGTATCATTCATAAATGAATTGACTGTCATATCCACTAGTTGGCAGTTCAACATGCAGGCATGATCGGTCTACCCTCGGGCATCTGTGCTGTTCAGTACATTCCTAAGCAGTAATAGTTCCATTGGTTGACCATGTTTTTAAGTTTGTGGGGAAGGGAATGATATGCATATTGAAGACATGTCTTGCACAGTTTTATTAGGGAAAGAACTGTAGTGATTTATATAAGGTTTGCTAACCTTTCTGCTATTCCCGGTAATGACCATTGACCAGCGATGGCTTTAGGTGCCTTTTAGGCATTAGATTGTTGCACAATCAATCTGGAAACTGCTGATTGGGAGGAATTTGTTGTTTATAGGGAACCTTGACTGTAAATTATTGGTCTCTATGGGAAAAGTATGAGAAATAAGAACCTCCATCTTAAAGATACTCTAACTACTGAATGCAAGAACAATTTCAGCCACATAGGGCAATAGTATGTTATCAATGCATCCACCTTACTAGGGCTGCAACTATGATTGTTTGCATAAGCGATTAGTTGGCTGATTTAAATTTTTTTGCGATCGGTTAAATATAAAAAAAAAACTTTTATTTAAAATGAAATACACAAATGGAGTGTTGCAAGTGAAGTTTACTTCAGAATAAAACAGTATGCACCCTTTTTGCAATCGCACGGCATTGCAGTACTGTGCGTTCCAGTGCGTGCGATCACACTGCGGGCAGGAGGCGCGTTTCAGGTGCTATTGAAATGAGTGGCACCACAACACACATCCTGCAGCAGAATTTGTCACACCAAAACCAAAAATTACTTTTTCCACCTTTTTAAAAAATAATTGTATGTATTATTAGACATTTAAATTAGATTAATGGATTTAAAATAATATGAATTTTAAAACTCCAATATAATAGCCAGACTTTTATTTAAAAAATAAATAAAAGCCCGGTCATCAGTTTAGAGTTAGCCATTATTATTAGCCAGAAACGTATTGCTCTCACTCCGGCGCACGCGATGATACCTGACGTGTAGCGTAATCGCCGTTTTCATACGTAGGTGCACCCGACTTGTGTTTCTGTCCGTATGCACGCGTTTGCGGGATCGGGAGGACTTTAAACTTTTTGGGGGTATTTTTTTACATTTTATTTACCTTTTTTTTTTTTTACTTTTTTTTTTACTTGATTGCTATCACATGGGGTGGGGGCTCACAAGCCCCTTGTGTGATAGCACATTTTAGATGACAGTGTCTCTTTAAGGTCATATTAGGGGGGCTATCAGACCACTAGTGTCACCTTTCCACTAGGCAGCAGACGTAGGAGGGGGGCAATGCAGAGTCACTGCATTCTCTTCTCCCCGCTGGTGCTGGTTGTAGTGGTCTGCCTCTGCCGCTACAGGCGGGGAATGAAAGGGACACAGACCGCTGGAGTCAGCGGGTAGGAGAACGAAGGAGCAGAACGGCAGCAGCAGCTGCAAATCGAACAATCAACTAATCAATAATGAGATTCGTTGACAACTCTGTGTTCCATATTGGTCATGGGAAGTTCGGATCTTTTACATGAATCGGTTCATTTCAAACCGCTCATTCAAATGAGCCCATTCATTGGTTCAACTACAGAGTCTGCTGACAAGCAAGTGAACTGAAGCTCAGAAGCTGACTCAACCTAGAGGGTTAATGTATCAATCCAAATGAGAATCTCCTCATTCAGACTCTGCGTCCTCTTATCTGCCTGCAAGAAAGTCTTTCCCTTACCACTGCTGCAACCTGACCATTGATTCAGTGTACTGTTTTCTACTGGAGACTCGTATGATTCTTTGATTCAGTGTACTGGTGTACTATTGACTAAGAACTGTTGTGAGTTCTGATTCTCAGTGTCCTGTTAGCTGTCTGATTGGTTGCAGGAAGGGGCTGTCCTATTCAACACTGAACCCTTTTAAATGGATCTTACTCTGTATTCCCTTTTGTGTGCAAAAATCTTAGGCCTGGTTCACACCTAGGCGGCACCGGTTTTACGCGTTTGTACGTACGTTAACAGCATGTGGTTATTTGCACATTGTGCACATTTGTATGTGCATTTTAACGTGCGTACATGAAACCACGCGTTTTGATTGGCAGCGCATAAAACATTGTGGGCAATGGAAGAACGTGCGTATAAACGCGCAAAATGTGCAACATGCTTCTGTCTCACATTTCTAATGAAGTCAATGGGGCAAAAAAGCACTTTTAACTGTCCAAATGAGCTCCTGTACCTTTTTGGGTGTTTTGGCGTTTTTCTGCTCAGGTGTGAACCAGGGCCATTGAAAATCATGGGATTTCTTGTGTTGGGCATTTAAAAGCACTTTTCGAACTGCTCAAAAATGCCTAGGTGTGAACCAGGCGTTAAGGTTATGGCGAACTTTACAAACAGATATTGAGAAGATCTAATAAGTCCAGAGATGGGCAACAGTAATGGTAAAAGGCCTAAGGGATAAAACATACCAGGAGAGACTGCATGTACTCAATATGAACAGTTTTAAGGAAAGAATGGAAAGAAGGAACATGTTTGAAAGCTTTACATTAAGGGTGCGTATAAGGTTCAGAACATGGGGACATGACCTAAATGTATTTTATTTACATCTGCAGTGTAGATAAATGTTAAGTCTTAAGATGTACTGTATATGCCACTTTAGGTATGTTTGCCTTTTCTATAATATTTAGGGCCCATTTACACCACATCCAGATCATCTCCAGGCCAGACCAGATTGTTTCTAGACCCAAAATGCATCCTAATGTATCCCTATGCTATGTCTAGCCTCTGTTCACACCAGTCCGTTCCAGACCAGACAAGAAAAATACTGCCTGTCTCATTTTGTCTGGTTTGGAATGCACTGGAACTGGGGGCAGGCAGGTTCACACCATTATCTGGTCCAGAAAATGGTGTGAACCTGCACATTCATTCACGCTGGATAGCGTAGCTCATGCTATACATTTTGCATTGCGACTGGAGAGCTGCAGCTAACATGTTAATTGAGGTTGGAATTAAAGCAAGAGCGCCTATGAGAGCTGTGTCTCTCATACATTGTCGCCCTGATGAAGGGATCCTGTGCGGTCCCGAAACGTCGCTATTTTGTACATGACAATTGGTCCGATTTTAAATGGACAGCAAAGATATTTACTGAGTGCTGGTGATTTCTGCTTTCCACTGTTTGTTGCACGGTGCCATCCGTGATTGTCACTGCGAACACCACTACAAGTACTTGGGCCGGGAGCGCTGTGAGGAGTGCAGAGGGACCTACTACTTTCTCATACATGGAAGCAGGAGTGCTGTTTGTGAGCCCCCTCCCTTCCCTTTCACAGGATAGTCAAGGGGAGAGAAGGTCACTGATTTTTTTTTTTTTTTTAACTTCACATTCAAAAAATGTACCCCTTGTAATTCTGTGCGTGACCCCCCCCATCTAACATCTTTGGCTAACTTATATCTGAAGCATGTTACTTGTTTTAGAATGAAGTGACCTTGCAGTAATTGTTTGATTTTAAATTTAAAGGCCTGGACCACCTATGTGATCTGAAGTATTATGGGGCTTTATGATACAATGCATATTATTTAGGTAGCTGGATACCTCAGATAGAAGGAATGCTTACATGAGCCTGTTCAGTTTTTGTTAGACGTTGGTCTATGGAGAAAAATACATTAGCTTTTATTTTTGCATCCAGTTGGTTGTCAATTTCTGGACTCCTAAGTGAGGTCTACATTGTAATATCTCAGTAAATGTTATTTAGTCAAGCTAATGTATTGTTGCAAATTTAATTATAATGCGGTTATGTAGTATGTCTGTCTAACTTTTCTGAAAGGATTGTTTTTATTAATGTCACCCTTTTCTCTCTATTACAGTTTGCCCAAGCATGGATATTCGGAATAACCTGACAAAGTTGTATGACTTGGAGGACTGCACTGTTATTGAAGGTCATCTACAGATTTTGCTAATGTTTAACACCAAACCAGAACATTTTAAAGGGTTAAGATTTCCCAATCTTACTATGATAACGGACTACCTCCTTCTCTTTCGAGTTTACGGTCTGCAAAGTCTAAAAGACCTATTTCCAAATCTCACAGTCATCCGAGGTACTCGACTCTTTTTCAACTATGCCTTGGTCATTTTTGAGATGCTTGATCTAAAGGAGATTGGTCTGCACAGCCTTATGCGCATAACCAGAGGCTCTGTGAGGATTGAGAAGAACTATGAGCTGTGTTACCTTTCTACCATTGACTGGTCAAAAATCCTGGACACTGTTGAAGACAACTATATCAACCTCAACAAAGATAATAAGGAGGAATGTGGGGATGTTTGCCCTGGTGCTATAAAGGGAAAGAGCAGTTGTCCATCTACAATAATTAACTCAGTTTTTGGTGAGCGCTGCTGGACCCAGGATCACTGTCAAAGAAGTAAGGTTTTTTTTTTTAATGCTATGTTTTGCACACATATATTGCAGTTGATTTTTTTTTTTCTTTTTTTCTTTTTTTCTTTTATGGTCTTTTAAGGTAGAATGTTTATCCCCTGCATAGCTGTATCTATACAAAGCAACAAATCTCAACTCCAGGCCTCAGTAAAGAGGGTGGCCAGTGTGTGGGGGCCTAGCCTTTGAAGGTGACCTTAGCCAGACAGGAAACCATCCTGATTTAGTGTGTGCTCATTAAACCAGGTCATACAGTCGCACAACATTTTGCTGTCCACTAGTGCTTATTTTGGACTGGTAAACACCTGTGTTAGTAGGCACTGGATGACATTTTTGGAGAGTCTGACCTTTTTTTTCTTTTTGTTTTTAAATACCACAAGCGCCAGCACCCGTAACTGTGTGGGAATACCAAGTAAAACACTCTCGAGGCAGCTCCCGCTGGTTTAGGGGAACCACAAAGCTGAAAAGAGAGACAAAGAGAGCGCCTCCATCCTGTATAAATGCTTTAATAAGCTGGACCACCCATGGTTCTGATTAACCTCTTGCCGTCCGCCCGTAGTAAAAAAACGGACGGACGGCACTGCTGCATTGGCGGATGCCGTCGCCAGACGGCATTTTTTTTCTGCTCGCGCGCGCCCCCTAGCGGGCACGCATGGGCAGAAAAGACCCGACCATTGCACACACCCGTTACCGGGTGTTTCACATATGGGCGATCAGCGGCTCCATAGCCAGCCGATCGTCTATATGTGCTCGTTCGCGTCCGCCAGCCTAGCCTTTGAAGGTGACCTTAGCCAGACAGGAAACCATCCTGATTTAGTGTGTGCTCATTAAACCAGGTCATACAGTCGCACAACATTTTGCTGTCCACTAGTGCTTATTTTGGACTGGTAAACACCTGTGTTAGTAGGCACTGGATGACATTTTTGGAGAGTCTGACCTTTTTTTTCTTTTTGTTTTTAAATACCACAAGCGCCAGCACCCGTAACTGTGTGGGAATACCAAGTAAAACACTCTCGAGGCAGCTCCCGCTGGTTTAGGGGAACCACAAAGCTGAAAAGAGAGACAAAGAGAGCGCCTCCATCCTGTATAAATGCTTTAATAAGCTGGACCACCCATGGTTCTGATTAACCTCTTGCCGTCCGCCCGTAGTAAAAAAACGGACGGACGGCACTGCTGCATTGGCGGATGCCGTCGCCAGACGGCATTTTTTTTCTGCTCGCGCGCGCCCCCTAGCGGGCACGCAGTGTCCTCTGAAACGCGTCAACCAGGGCGTCATACAGCTTGTCGGCTGTGCCAGATGATCACGACCTTAGTGTTTCATTTGCTGACTTACATGTTATGCTTATTCATCCCATCTGTTTGTGAGTATATTTTTTAGCTGTTCATATATCTCCCTTAAAGCGTTTATACATGATGGAGGCGCTCTCTTTGTCTCTGTTTTACACCAGGCTTGCTTTCACCTTTTAGGCCAGCCCATTATTCTAGATGTAAAATTAAATAAGTCTGCACTCTCCCTAATTATTCCCCAACTGCTTTATAAATATCTAAATTCTATTCTTCTATAATGTACAGCGCTTAAACAAACCAATAAATTGTAACACCCTCACAAACCAATTAACTATAAAATAACACAATTATGATGATAATAAATCTCTGAACATGTAATCATACACCTAACTCAACACCTTAATCATGACATCCAAAAAAATGGGCAAAAACATGTAGCGTCCTTTAATATAATGTCCAAATTATGCGCAAACACTCCAAAGCAATAGTGATCATGTGACCACCATCCTCACTGTGCTTGGCCAGCCTCTTTGGTAATCAACACCAAATACTGTGTGGCCCCTTATAAAAGAAGGTCTTAATGCAGAGGGTAGTCGCCCAGGAATAACCCTGCGATTCAGTTTATACACCATGTTAGCCATCAAGTTCAGAAGAAACAAAAGGAGAAGCTCATAGCATAAACATTCATTGTTTTATTTAAGAAAAGTTCATAAAAGAATCCAATAAACTCACAAATCTCAGTAGTGACTAAACGTTTTGGACGGGGCAAAGGACTGTGACATAAGACCCATGTGTACACAAGTGTCTGCCTTCTGAGGAAAAGGTGTAATGCCTGGATCAAGATTTGGCTATTTGTGCTCAGTGCAGGTTTTAATCCACTATACAGTGGTACCTCGGTTCCCGAACTTAATTTGTTCCACGATTCTGGTTGCGAACCGAATCAAACTGTGATCAGACCGCCATCTTGTAGACTGCGATGCGATGTGTGGGGTGTTGTGAGAATTAAAGGAGAACTATGGGGTTAAGGCTTTTCCCCATAGTTCTCCTTAGGGTAACGGGAGGACACAAACTAGCGTCCTCCCGTCACCCTAGGCTCAGTATACTGCGTGCTGTAGCTCGCGGTATACTGAAACGCAGCAGTATACTGAGACGCCACAGCTGAAGCGGATCCCGACAATTGTGCCGGGATCCGCCCAGCTGCGTGAGTGACAGCTGGCTCTGCCTATCTAGAGGCAGAGCCAGCTGTACCCGCCCCCTCCCCCGTCCGTTCCGCCAGTCAGCGCTGGCGGAGCGAAGCGGGGAGGGGGGAATCCAGCCCCTCCCCTCCCCTGTCACAGCAGAGAGCCGTGACAGGATCGAGAAGTGAGCGAACGCTGGTATGTGTTCGCTCACCTCCCAATCTACTGAGCTGACCTGTGACAGTCTCATTGTCACAGGTCGGCTAGAACTATGAGGTGAGTGAAAAGCACTCACCTCATAGTTCTCCTTTTAAGGGTTAGGAGGGCAGGGAGTGGTTTGATTTGGGGACAATGGGGCTCACAGTGAGCATAAGAGGTGCATGCTATGGGTGGGGATGTGCTAACTGGTGAGGGATCGTGCTGTGCTCAGGGGGAAGGAGGGGGTACACCCTGCGGTGACGGATGAGAAATATGTGCACTGCGAGTCGGGAGTGACGGTTCACTGTGAGCAGGAGGGGGTCATGCTGTCAGTGGGGGTGTGGTGGCTGGGGAGGGATGGGAACTGTGAGGTGTCCAGAAAGGAATGTGTGAGCTGTGTGACGGAACGCCTGATACCCCAATTGGGTATCTCTGTCAGAAATCAGCTTCCTCCACTCTGGAACCGGAAAAATCATAATTTCAGCCCAAACCTTTCCCTAAAGACCAGGCAGGACCAGTCTCTTGGGTTAAAAACCAAGAACTTACTTTTTTGAAAACCAGCACAGTATTTATACAGTTCTGGTGGTCTAAAAACATAATACAATCAATCATTAAAAGAATGCAAACAGACATCCCCTCCCTGGTGTCTTAATGAAATAATAGGGAGACGCATATGATGGGATTATCTCCTGAGCGTCTATGATATGGTAATGTTCTCGGCTACATCTAGTGACAAGTTAATCCCATTGTTAACACAAATAGACAAACGGACTTCCATTTAACTTGTTAGTCAAGTCTAACTCCAGAGTCTGGTCCAGGACAGGATACTGGGGTAGAGGAAAACAGTCTCCGCTCCCCATGTATCCCCACATAATTGGGAAATAGGTCTCTGGGGTCCTCTTGATCCATGGAGCACAAACACAGGGTCCCACACAACCCAAAGCCCCATGGCAAGCCCCTCTCCCAATCAATAGAACTCCCTCCACAGCCAAGGCCCATAGTCAGTGGGAAAGAGGCAGGCCTCCAAATAGCAGAGTAACTCTGCAATGTTTACCATCTGCTTGTATCCACCTTCTATTGTGCACGAGTTTACAAGAGTTACATTGCAAAAACTGACATCTTGTAACTTGAAGAGAAGTGGTTATTTCATTGTCTTTCTAAGAATATGGTTTTAAACAACCTAATTCTCACATGTGAAATAACAAAGAACCACAGTATTACTAGGCTCCAAGTTCGATAATATCTATATTAGTCTCCAGGAGCTGCTCATAGTGTGCGTTAGATTAGTTTCCTGTTTGGGTTTTGTGATGTCCTGTTAATGACTTCCTATGTAGGCCTTACACCTTTGGGAACAGAATGTATTTCACTTTCACTGGAAGGGAGTTATGTTTACAGTATACACAGTACATCTGTCATACTTTTAGCAAAAAAAGGTTTGGTGTGTGGCAGGATATACAGCATTAGCTGTGTCTTATTGATAATGTTTCATTTTAGAGCTTTATATAATCAAGAACTTTTGGGTGCCTCCTGTTTTTAAAGTAGAAACCATAACTGTATAACATTTAGTTTGCTAAAGTACTTTTGTAAAATACACAATCGCCATGTTTTTTTTCTTCTCTAGAACAAAACTGGTTTGCCTTTTTTATTTCATTCTTTATTGCATCTCAGATCTGGCGATCTCCTACAGCTTCTTTCAGCCATTTCCTGTCTGCATGCCCTCACTCCAGCCCTTTGGATACATATCAATGCTCTGGACTGGCCTTCCGAAAGTAATAACTGCTGATCATGCCTATGCAATTTGTATCAGCATGGTTACGTTTGGCCCATTCACCCCTGTGAATGGCACCATATTGCATGACTCTTACAAATTCCTCTGCGGAACTCATGCAAACTCCAGTGACAAATGCCTCCACCCACAGCTGTTCACAAATAAATGCACAGGCTGCAGTTACCTGCAGACACGGGCTCATGTGATTCCTTATAAACAGCCTTCAGGTGACATCACCAGGACGCAGACAGTTTATGTCCATGTGCGATCATCCATAGGTAATCGCAGTTGTCGAACCAGCAGGCTACTAACTCGCCGAGAATCGTACGATTCCCGGCGGGTTTTCTAGCCTGCTGGTTCGACGGAAGACGTGCGACCGTACAGTAGAAACGGTCGCATGCCTTCCATACACTGCACGATTCCCGTACGATCGTGGGATTTCCCGCGATTCTCGGACGAGAATCGTGCAGTGTATGGGCACCTTTAGTCTTTCACTAGGGGTGCATAGGAGAAGGTGACAGTGTAGGAGTCCTATTGTTACTGAAAAATAAGATTTTA